ATACAAATTTAGTTTTTAAAAATTCTATTTAATATTTGGTTGCGATTATTTAGCAAATTAATTTCTAACAATATTCTACTATTTTGTATGCACATCCTTATGTGCATAGCTTTACAGGGAACATTTTGATGTTATGTTCATTATAAAAGTAAATATTATTTGCTATTCTTTTGTTTGTTAAACGTTTAATAAGTTTCCTACAGTTTCAAGTAAGTTAATCATAGATTATATTTTGATTAACATATTTGGATAAAACAGTAGGATTATAATGAAAGAACATTACTTTCAGTTTTAAAGTTTCATTTCGGGATCAAGAATATCGTAATGGCAGAGAGTAATATTATTAAAAGATGATAAATAAGTATTAAAGTAATATTAAATAATTTACAGATGAAAAATACTTTTATGACTTTTGCTAATTTTTTGGTAATTACAACTATAGAACTTTGGATCTTCTTTGTTAATTAAAGAACCATATAAAGTGATTTATTGGCCAATAAGAATGCGCTGACAGTGAGAAGTGGTTTTATACCATTATACTGTGTTGTTTCCATGTTGAATTAATTTTTAAACAGTTTAAATTTTTTCCCTATTGTCACGATAAATTGGGGAAGGAATTTTTTTTTTACTAATTTCAGCGAACAGTTCTTTTAAGGTTTAGTACATAACTGGAGTGCAAACAAGTTTCCACCGTTTTCTATCAAAAATTAGCAGTTTTTTTGTGAAAAAACGGTACATTGTCTTTTATTCAAAATATTCTCCATTACTAGATACTACTTTTTCTCATCTTTCTGGGAGCATTCGAATACCACGTGGGAAGAACTCTTCATCTTTCGATGATATTCACGAATCGACTCAATCCTTGGTTTCTTCAAATGATGTAAATTTCTGCTCAGACAGATCACGTGCCATTGACCGGAATAGGTGATAATCTGAGGGGGCAATGTCTTTCTAAATACCAAAATCAATTTTCATGCAAAATCGACGTTCAATGTCTCCTGCCTTCAGAACTCAACTTCCTTGTTTTTGGATCATTCCCAACGATTTTAAACGTTGTAAAATTGCTCGCTGAGTCACTTGTAATGTAAGAGCAAGTTCCTTTTGCCTTTGGTACGAATCTTTTTCCAATAATTTTTACAATTCCTTGTCTTCGTACGATTTCGGCCTTCCACTGTTTTCTTTGTCTTCTCACAGTTCCACGTCAAACTCACAGTTTGTAAATTTCTGAAACCACTCACGACAACTTCTCTCACTTAAAGCAGCCTCACCATTTGCTTCTCCAAGCAACCGATGAGTCTCAGCTGCAGATTTCTTCAAATTAAAGAAGAAAATCAAAACTTCCCGCAAATGGCGCTTACTTGGCACAAAACTTAGCATTTTTGCACGAAAACAATTACGTAATGTTAATACGGTATCACTAATACTTTAAGGTTATGTTGTCACCAGAAGAACAAACTTACAATAAGACGTTTAACATCAGTCAAATTCTACATAACCTTCTGGTAGTCCCATCTTGTGACGAACAACGGGAACTTATTTGTACACCCAATATTTTAAAGGAAAAAGTATTATGTTAGTTTGATTTCTAAACAAGCAATTAGGATTATAATTTACGTTTTAAGTGTTGCCATGGAAATATTAAGTAACATTTTATTTTTTTAACCAGACTCATCAGCCCGCTCGATATAAATGTTAAAATTTAACTCTATCTCTCTCACTTTTTGTTTTACCGGCATCAACTCAAGAGCAAGCTTATAAAGAAAAGAACTCGTTGTTGTTGTTTCTAATGCAACTTGCCAATTAACCAGAAAGCCTGCTTGATGACATCAGACAAACTTAAGGCAGAGGGTGCTTTTCTTGTTTTCCAGTGGTGTCATCTATGGCTAAGAATACGTCTTCAGTCACACACATCACAGCCCGTTTTAAAGGGCTGACCCATTCATACATTCATTCATAGATCATTATTTTGACCTGAAGCAGAGAACAATCAATCTCTAATTTAGTACTCCCTGAGATATTGGTTTCTGATGAGAGTTTGGAGGACTTCATGACATGACAGATTTAACTTGCACCAGTCACCATTTACGAGCTTCAGCTTGCGAGGTTCGAACTCATAACCTCATGAACCTAGGCCCAACCAGGCTATCCCGCCCCCCCCCAAATAAAAAAAAACTTGTAAGGAAGATAAATAAATTAGTCTATAAGAAGGAATAATTATTATTTAAAGTAAATCGTTATAACAGCTCTGGAAAAAGTAAGAAAAAATTTACCCCAAAAAAATAAATAAATAAATAAATAAAAAATAAAAAAAAGTAAATAAAAAAAATAAATACTTAAATTTAGAACTACTTTTAGACTAATTGTAATATTAAAAAATCATATTAACTTTAAAAAAAATGTTCTTTTCAGCAATTCAAATTCTAATACTGTAGTTAATTATCTAGGGCGATCCAGGTATTTACCAATGGGGTACCAATTACAGGTAGCAATGGGAAAAGTCGCAATAACTCTTCTTGGGGAGATTAATTTTCAAAATATTTTATACTTTTTAATAATTTTCAACCATAAATTAGATTAAAGAACATTTTTCATGAATTAAAGGGATAATTTTTTAATACTGCGGGGGTCATTTTTAAAATCTGGTTTGGTGGTTGATATTTTTCAAGCCAATTTTTTCATAACACCAATGTACAACTATACAACCACATAAAATTACAAATAAGAGAAACACATTTACAACTAGTAGTTTTGTTTGAGAGGAACGGGACTTTTTAGGGTGGTGGGGTAGAATTCGAATTCTTTTTTGGTGAAAGATACTTTTTACTTCAGTAGGGATTATTCATTCTAGCCAAGTTCATTATATCTAATGCTCAAAATTTACATGACAAGAGAATCACATATGTAACACCAATAGTTAGTAAACTAAAGCATCAGTTTTAATTATTTTTTTCTTCTGGAGGGAGGGGTATTTTTTAAATCCTTTTTGCTGGGCATAATTTATTGCATCTTCATAAAATACGGAAAACATAATGGAGTTCTTAAAGAAATTTAAGTTTTATGCTACAAATCCTTGTTTCCTGTGACTGCAGTACTAACAGGTTTCCTTTAAAAAAAAAAGCGGAATTGATGTATTTTGAATATATTACGGATTAAAAATTACATTTCTTCGAAATTTTTTTGGTTGAAAAATTGAATTTCCAGTACCAGTCTACAAAACATTGGAGAGTAATGCCAACATTTCAGACGTAAAAAAAATCTTAACAGGGCAGACGAAAAAGATTTTCCCGAATATGACGTAATAGCATATTTCGTATTTTCCCCACTGTGCAGTTTATGTTCGTTACGCTGAAATATTAAATCGATTCAAGCCTACCCTCTTTCAGCAGGTGTTGGTTAGAATCAAAACAGGGACCTGTGGAGTTTGAAAAGCTTTATACAATGAATTCCCTTAATCAACTAATACTTTTGTTTCCCGATTTTTTTTGGGGGGGGGGGATTTTGTTAACTGTTAACAACAATAACTGTTCTGTGCAAAGAACATAAAAGAAATTCAGATTTTATAACTTGTTAACGACACTAACTGTTACAAACTGTTCGGTGGAAAGAGCACAAAACAAAGTTAAACAAATAAAATAAAATCCGTTCTGCTTTTTCACAAGTAAATGGTAAAAAAGCACTGGAAAAACAGTCCGGGAAAAAAAAGCAAAGTAAAGTATAACATCAGAATAAACCACAGGGATAAAGCGACACAAAATTGATCCCGAATAAAATATGAATTAATTAAATATTGATAAATTAAAAAGTTATTTTAAAATTGGATAATATACAAAGATTAGTTTGAAATTTGCGGTTAAGGAACTTTTTACAACTCATACTTTTAATTTAGACTCTTTTTTAAACTTTAAAAATTTTCAATTCACAATAATTACACTTATTGTATTTTGTTTGGATAAAAATTTTTATTTTTAAACAAGAGTACATTATAACGAAATATTTAATTATTTTTTTAAATATTTTTAACTGATCATAATGTTAATATTCTGAGAGAGTATTGCTAATTGATACATAGTATATGATATAGTACATAATATAATGCAGAAAATATGAAATTTCATAAATTCCTCTAGATACATTTCAAATGAAACGTTGCTTATAAATTAATCTTATTAAAAAATAGTTCGTTATATTTGAATAAATGTTCAATTACATTAAATTTGTGCTCAACGTTCTGAATCAAATTGGTCGTTAAATTGTTGTAACTTTTAAAGAGAACCACCATTTTGTGTAACAGTTTTGCATTGCGATCTTAAAAGCATTCCTATTTTTCCCCTATTTAATTTCACGATTTAAATTTAGTCATCGACTTCTTAAAATAATATTTCACAAAAATATTTCCAGCAGTTAATCCTAATTGGGATAAATAAGATACAGTTATATAATTCTAGCTTAAAAAATTGTATATTTATTTTTATTGTTTACGGAGATTTGGAAAAATTTTTAAATTTGTAGGGGACATGTCCCCAGCAGTCTTGAGGGGAATGGGCATCCTTCGAGCTGTCAGTGTGGTATTTTTTATTGCAAAATTTAACGTTCATAATTTCTCGAATTAATCGTCGAATATAATCATTTTTTATTTCATCGCGCTTCCTCTAATTATTATTACTTTTTTTTTTTTACTTCTCTTCGTAATTAAAAGTTTCCAAGTCTTTATAGTGTTTGCCCCGAAAGACAAAGTATAACTTGAAATTAAACACCCAAAACATCAGCGGTGCCTATGATTTTTTTTTTTAATACAGAAAGAATCTTAATCGTTACATATTTGATTAATACGGATTCGATAGATTTGAATGTTTCAAACATTTAAAAAATGAACAGATATTGTTTTCCTTGTCATAATTCCATAAACGATAATGCAAGTTTTACAAATACAAATACTAAAAGTTTGTAAATTGTTGTAAAACATCAGTCTAAAAAATAATTCTAAAAATGATAAATCCTACCTTAATTTCTTCAATATATGAATCGGTAAAATCTGGCAAACTAGCCATAGCAGGCGTGCTACAGCATCTACGGCTCTGGAAGTTGCTTCGTCTTTCGCTAGCAGCTCCTTCCATTGCCCTATCAAATCAGGACTTCAAATTTAGGGCTTCAGTTATAGTGCCGTATTAACAGGTGAGCTCCAGTTTTCTCCGGTTTTGGAACGTAACTCGGGAGCTTTGATCTTTCCCGTTGAGGGATTCGGGAAAAAGGAAAACTATCTCTAGTGGGTGGGTTTCGATGTTTCAATCAACCAATCCTGGTTTTCTCCGTTAAGGTGCGCAAAAGTTGAAAATATGAGACCACGGAATTGAATCAATTGCAGTTTCTTGACATTTTATGAGTGGGCATTTTCTAATTTTGAAGATCGCCATTTATAGCAAATACATATAATTAATCTATTCCTATCTTTAGGTAGAATTTACTTGTAAAATTTCACTTGGCACTTTTCAAAATTTGTTTTCAAACTAAATAAATTAGTAAGAAAATTTTTTTTCCTCTTCATAAAATACCTCAATAGAAAAAATGAATAAATAAAAACGGTTTTTCGAAGTTGAAATTTTATTTTAAATTAATGGAATAAAGAAATATCGTTAAAAAAAATTAATAGTTACAAAATCAAAACAAACTTAAATTAAAAGAACTGAAAATTGAATATATTTAAGTGCAAAACGAAACTATACCATTGCACTTATTAAGATCTCATGGGTTCCATCTTTAGTATTAGTTTAAATCTTTTTTCAATCTCTTAACTTGTTCTAAATATTCACTTCTCGCAGAGATGGCCTTCTTCTGTTATTCACAGATTCCACGACCCCGAGCTTCTTTACTGTTTTTTCCTTCTTTGTCTTTTCGCGTCAGATTTTATCCTTTATCTTTTTTGTGTGATTTTTTTCCTTGAGTACGTAATGTCGTTTGAATTTGATGTAGTTTAGCCGATACCGACTCTTTAGTCTATTCAATTCTAAATTATTTCATAATAATTATAGAAATACGATTTTATTTACCTTAGAAAAATTCTAACACTTGATATTAACGATATGAATCTTAACGATTGGTTAATATTCAAGAAAACGGTCATAAAAGTGCCTATTTTTTTCTTCTATCACAAATACACGTATTTGATTAGGGCTGACATCTAGTTTAAAATAAACTAATTATCTACAAATACCTTAAAAATATCCTGGTACTGCCATCTGGTGTGTAAAATGTGAAATAAATTTTTTTCCGGGGGAAAAGAAATGAATTAGTTTTATTCTTATTGGCGCATTACTACTGAACACTCCAGCCCGGAAATATCACGGGAGCGAGAAATAGAGGGCAAAACCTCACCCCGTCATTTTCACGAGAGCGAGAAGGGGAGGGGTTAAGAAAAGTATGACAACGTTTCAAAGAAGTCGCGGGCTCTTCGTCGAAATTAAATAATAATTCATTTGGGGCAAGCATTTGTGTTGATTCATTTACGTTAAGTGAATTTCTTTGCAATTTGTATTTATAAAGAAGACGTTGCATACTGGAAACATTTTGGTTTTATTTATAGTATAATGTTAAAATAAATTCATGGAAGTTTTGAAAATGAAACTCACATTACGATTCAAATTTGTCAATATATGATTAACTACACTTTCAGTCCCTTTTTTTTTCTTCAATTTTTAACAGTATTTCATTAAAATATTTTTTTCCTTTACAAACACAAAACAGTATTTTCAGGCGAAATTTTAAAACAAAAAAAAAAGTTTGAATAAACTTTTAAAACAATTTTACCCTGAATTATGCCCGCAAAATCTCATTTTAACTGTGATTAACGCCTCTAATATAACTCCCTCTCTTCATAAAGACACACTTTAGATAAAGTTCAAACTCTCGTGGTTTCCATTTCGTAATTGATATAATTTAAACATTTGAAAGTCATTAATTATTTTTTAAATAGTATCGTTCAACTCATTTATAAACATTGTTCTTTTACAAAGACTGTTCTTTCTTTTTGTTTGAGAAAATAAAAGAGAGAAAAAATTATTAGAGTAGTAGTAGTAGTTTATGTAAGTCGCACTAGAGCTGCACAATGGGCTATTGGCGATGGTCTGGGAAACATCCCTGAAGATGATCCGACGACATGCCATCACAACTTTGATCCTCTGCAGAGCTAGCCCGCTTCGGTAGCACAGCGACCTGCACGTGAAGTCGAGCACTTTACGGTAGCACAGTTTAACGGGGACCAATACCGCACACCCTCGGTCCCTACGCAGACTGATAAAAGTGGTCACCCACCCGCACACTGACCGCAGCCAGAGATGCTTGACTTCGCTGGGAATCGTGTCGTAACGATTAGTCCACTGCGGGACAAAAATTATTAGAATATATGTAATAGAAACAAAACAGGTTTGTCCACCATAATATAAGAAGAATACTAATATTTGAATCTGAAGTCAAAACTCTTTTAAATCTTAGTAGGTAACAAAAAAAAATCATTCGCCATAAATCAGAGTTGTTATGAATAATCAAGTCAATATCAAATTACGAATAATCAATCATCAAACCTGGAAAAAATAAATAAGTGGTAGCAAAATAGCTATGGAAATGCAAGAGCCGTGGTGGCTCAGCCTCCCAATGAGATAACCTAGGTTCGAATCCCAGCGGTAATTGGTTGATATGAATTCTGCTCCAGTCTCGCTCTGACAGCGGTGTTGACATAAATATCCTCAGTTACCGAGGAACACGGGGTTAGAATCCCCTTACTATCGGGCTAATAGTGGTTAATTTCTCTCTCCATATAACGCAAATGCGGGTTAGTTCCATCAAAAAGTCTTCCAAGAAGGCTAGTTTTTCCCAATGATGGATCCAGGGCCGGGATAGCCAGGTTGGTAGGGCACTGGGCCCAAGTGCAAGGGGTTGTGGGTTCGATCCTCGCCGGCCGAAGACTCTCCGTGTAGTATATGGTGACTGGCGCCCGTTTAATCTGTAGAGTCTCAAAGTCCTCCATGTTCCCATAACAAATCATACCTGCGGGGGTGCTGATCCAAGAGTTCCCTTGTCTTCTAGCTTGGTTCAAAATTACAAGGCTACGGAGTTGAACATTAGTAGTCGTAAACCCAAAATTGTGTCGGCTGTTCAACGACGGTTATAAAATAAAATAAAATGATGGATCCAAAACCCGTGGTGGTTCAGGGGATTGAGCACTTGCCTTCTGATGAGGTGACCCAAGTTCATATCCTAGGGATGTCTTGATGGACGATGCCGCAGCCGGATCGCACTGACTACAGTGCTGAATTGAAACATTCTCAATGGCAGACGGACCATGGATTAGAGTTCCCTTGTCGTCAGGCTAACGGTGGGAGGTTTTCTTTTCCGTGTAACGCGAATGAGGGTTAGTCCCGTCAAAAAGTCTTTCACGAAGGCAAATTTCGCCCAATACTTGATCCAGGAGTTTCCTAGTCTTTTGGATTGGGGTCGAAATTACAAGACTACGGAGTTGAACATTGGTAGTCGTAAGCCCGAATTTGGGTCGAATGTTCAACGACGGTTATAAAATAAAATGCTTGATCCAGAAGTTCTCTTGGTTTCAGAGTTGGGTTCAAAATTACAAAGCTACAGAGTAGAGCATTGATTGTCGCAAACTCAGAATCCGGTCTGCTGTTTGTTCAACGGTTATAAAATAAAATAAAAAATTGAATTTCAAGCAATTGAAGTCCTGACTAAAAATTATAAGGAATACTATATATTTAAATTTTTTATATGTAGAGGTGGTAAGAATCATTTTTAATTAAATTCTATTTACTAAGATTCTAACGCCAACAATAATTCTTACTGCCACCTTCAAATAAAATCCGTCCCGCAGTGGACTGATCGTTAAGACACGGTTCCCAGCAGATCACCGAAGTCAAGCATCACTGGCTACGGTCAGTGTGCGGGTGGGTGACCACTTGGATCAGTCTGCGTAGGGACCGAGGGTGTGCGGTATTGGTCCTCGTTAAACTGTGCTACCGTAAAGTGCTCGACTTCGCGCGCAGGTCGTCGGGCTACCGAAGCGGGGGTGCCATCCCCTCCGCAGAGGATCAAAATTGTGATGGCATGTCTTCGGATCATCCTCCGGGATGTTTCCCAGCCCGTCGCCAACAGCCCATTGTGCAGTTCTAGTGCGACGCAAATTAACAACAACAAATAAAATCCTCTAATAAAATTAGTAGTCATACCTTATAAACTGATGGTGGTTTAAACTGCCTGATTCATGTTCCCAAAAGTTGAACAATGATAGCAAAGCTATTCTGTTGTTTATATTTATCTAAGGCATTGATAATCAGCGTAATAAAAAAAAATTAGTATTAATTTCATTGTAAGAAACTGGTCACTAGATGGCGCAGAAAACTTTCTTTTAGGTTTCTTTTTATTTTCCTGAAGAGGAGTCGAGAGTAAAAAAGATGGATGGCGGTTTTCGATAAATGTTGTGTCTTTGTTAACATTTTTATATATCTGTGATGTGCATCTGTAGCTTTTGAATAAATGATTTCAAGATGCAGGCTACTAGTCTTTGTGACAAAATTTAAAAGTCTTTACATCATTATGAAATTTTGACTTTTGAAAGGAGGAACGCATCTCCATTTTTTACAGTTTTAGCCCCCCCCCCCATTTAGTTCTAAATTAATAGTACTCCCACTTTTNTGATGTATTGGAAAAGGTTAACTTTCAGGATGTCTTGAACGATTTTGTAACAAAAAAAGTTAGAAGAGTTAATATTTAAGCTTATTGTATGATTTTTTTTAAATGCATATATTAATTACTTATATTCTTTTCGTTTGATTCAATATTTTTATTGAATAATGTGATAATATACCTATGTAGTAAAAAACAGCGTAATTATGAATAAAGTGTTGTGTTAGCGAAAAAATATATTAGGAAGTTAGAAGACGGTAGGGGGGGCGACATGCATAAGCCGGCCCTGTTTATATCGCTGTCACAAAAAAAAAAAAAAAAAAAAATCCTAATTCGTTATCACTAAAAATGACAGATATGTGTAAAGCCGATTCGGCAAATGAAGGATTTAGTTTTCATTACTGACAAAGGTGGTGAAATGTATACAAAAATGGTCAATTTAACAGCAAACACTATTGTTCCTTTAAAAAAAAAAAAGACTATTTGAATTCTAATCAGCAGCATTAAGCTAGTTCATCTCCTAAAATATTGAACTCGTTTTGTAAAACAATGATAAAATTTTTTTTTGTAACCGTTGTCGAACAGCCGACAGAATTTCGGGTTTACAACTACTAATGTTCAACTCCGTAGTCTTGTAATTTTGAACCCAATCCAGAAGACAAGGGAACTCTTGGTAATGGGTCTCTAGCCCATGATCCGTCTACCATTGAGGATATTTTACGTCAGCACTGTAGTCGGTGCAAGCCGGATGCGAAATTCGTATCGACCAGCCACAGCTGGGATTCGAACCCGGTTCACCTCATTGAAAGGTGAACGCACAATCCCCTGAGCCATCACGGCTCCGTCAATAAAATTTCATTTTATAACCGTCGATGAACAGCCGACTCAATTTTGGGTTTACAACTACTGATGTTCAACTCTGTAGCCTTGTAATTTTGAACCCAATTCAGAAGACAAGATCGACTCCTGGATCGAGTATTGGGAGAAATTTGCCTTCGTGGAGGACTTTTTGATGGAACTAACTCGGCTTTGTGTTACATGGAGAGGAAAACCTCGAAAATCTCCCACAGTTAGCTTGAAAGCAAGAAGACTCTATCCCAAGATCTGTCTACTACTAAGTATATTTTTCGTCATGTTGCGGTATACCGCACACCTTATATTTCAAACTGGTGACGGATTGGGTGACGGCCTTGTATTTTATGTTATATTGCTGAAAAGGGTGAATGTTCAACACCAATTCAATTGCAAAAATTAAATAAAGACGATTAAAAGCATATTTAGAGAGTATTCCTTACCCTGTAATGAATTCAGCAGGGGGGAAGAAGCCTCGTAATTGCTGACATCCTACTTTCTTCAAAAAGAAAATGTTATTTATTATGTAAAATTAAGATGCTCGTATCTACTATTATACATTAATAATATAATGTTTAAAATCAGTTAATCGTTATTTATTTAATTTTTTTAAAGTTAATTAATAAAGATAGTAGTTGACAAAACAAAATCACTTTGCCATAGCACAAATATTATATTACTCTTTTCATAAATTCAATTTTTCCATAATTACTAGAAAAAAAAGTAAAATTTTTACATTGAAATTTTTTTTCTTCACGAGACAAAACCTGAGACGATAGGATAAATAATTTAGAAATAAGGATTTCTTTCGCCTCAAACATAATTTTTTTTACAATTTAATACAAGAAAACCAGTGCAACTTTTGAAATATTAGCCCTATTGACTGATGTGATCTCATTCGACCATGCGAGAAAAAATACATCGACATAAATACGACTTGTTTCTACAGCAATTTTTGTAGAACAAAATTGTTTTTTGTTTGTAATACAAAATTTAAATTTTTTGTATATTTTAAGTTCAGCACTTCAAGTCTGATAGTTTCAGGACTGGTTTTTATTTGATTCAACGTAAAAAGCTACACCAAAAACAACACCGCAATTGTCTAAATGACAGGTAATCCCCCCCAGTCAAAACTCCTGTAGATTTGAATAGTTTTTTTATTCTCTGAATGTCTGAGTTCTGACAATTTTTGAGCTATCTTTAATGTATTATTAATAACGCTACTCTTGAAATAGGCGTCAATTCCTTTTTTTTTTTAAATTAAATACAAAAGGCACGACGAGACATGTCTTGTAAAATATTTTCAAACAAAATGAACTGAAAGTTTAACCATTATGTAACCACTATTACCATTGGGTATCTGGTAAAGTTCTGGATAAAATTTTCTTGACTTTTCCCAGATATTTATAATAAAATTTCTAGAATAATTTTATTTCACAATATTTTCTTAATTTTACCAGTTAGTAAAATATTAAACAGTATAATATGAACCACACAGAATTAAAATAAATTTTAACTCTGTAAGCATGATTAAACAATATTGAACTTTCTTTTGAATTTAAAGTATTATAATTATGTTTAACATATCTCCTCTAAAATAAATCAAGAAAAATATACATCGAATACAATGAAAGTCGTAGAATATTTTACTTGCATTAAAACAGTTTTTTTTTAAATTAATTATTTTCTCATTTTTATCTATTACTAAAATGAGGGAAAAAACCTTGATACCTCTTACTATCAAGATATTTTTTTGAACTCCAATCAATTAATACATACATATTCTTTTCCATAAAAAATTATGATTCTAATTTATAAAGGTTAACTTAGTACTGTTCCACAAAGAGCTCATTTTTCTGTTAATATTCATGCAATAGGAGGATAATGCAATGCATAAGATGTGTTTCAAGAAAAAGGCAAGAAAACTAAAATCAATAATTTAAATAAAAACTCAAACGAATACTGCTGTAATTACACTTTATATTTACACACTTCAAATATTTATACTTAGTTCAATATTTTCTCAGATATATTTTACAACAATGTAAATCTGTTAATAACTTATATTACACAAGTTAATAACTTATATTATACAAGAAAACTTATATTACACAAGAAAAAAAATAACACTACTCTAATTATTACATTTTAATCAAACCATTTACGAATGCCATATTTGCTGACTTTAAAAGCACTCAACTCAGTTTTAAAAAAAAATCAAATCAAGAAAACCTAAAAATTTCTGTTAAACACTTCAATCCACAAAAAAGTGAACATGAGGATAAAAATTTTAACTTTCTTAAATAAATTTAAAATATTGAATATTAATTGTAAAAGTATAAACTATTTTATATTTTAATAAAAAAATTTTTTTCTCTATTAACTTTGTTATTTTAGTTTAAAAAATGACACTATGTCTGTGTGGAAATAATGTGCCAAAAATCTTTATGTTTTATGGTCTTGTATAGCTGAACAAGTAATTCAGCAAATCCCTAAACTTATGTGTATAATCTGACAGTTATTATAGAGGAGTTTTTGCCTGCAGAATCTTCATTACAAAAGGTAAACATATTTAATTTTATTCTTAATTATAGTCGCACCCACAACATAAAGTCATTTCTTTCAGCGTAAGTTTTGATACTTTGTATTCTGAAATAGTTCTTTAAGATACTTTAAAACACAGAAGAAAAAAAATATCTTAATTAAAGTTATAAGGAGTTGAGAGGATGACATTTATTTAAAGTCACATACGCGACATGATTTTAAATTGAACATTAATGTAATTTAAACAATCTGTTCAGCAAATTTATGTAAAAATAACATGCTGGAAAATATGTAAATGACAACAGTAACTATACTCTTTGAATTAGTTGTGTGAATACCAGTTAGCGAATCAAAATTAGTCTCATTAGCGCATGAACAATTGTATATTAATTCAGTTTGGATTGATAAGTTGTTGCAGGAAAATATTTTAGTAAACGACATATGATTAAAAAATAATTGGAAAAAAAAAAACTTTTTAGCAATATATATATTTTTTTAAAATATACTTGCATAAATTTGTTATTTCATAGCATTTTTTTTAAATAAATATAATATTAGGAGCAGGTTTTTTATTTATTTATTGCTTAATATAAATAAAAAGTAGGAATAAGAAAAAAGAAAACAATCATTGAAACTGTTATTTAAATTGTTTATGAAGTTAGCATAAATTGTAGAGACTGAGCTTGAAATTAAGCAATTTATACATCAATTTCTTTTTCGGAAAAAGGAATAATACAGAAGGATAACGAAATCCTTGTCAATAGATATAAGAAAAACACCTTAAATATGCAGAATATCTACACAATAGAGGGAAACGGATAAAAGCAAGGGGAGAAACAGTAACAGCCAAAAAAAAAATTATTAAATAAAAAATTACAGTAACAAAAGCAGAATGAGAGGCAAAGAAAAATTAATTTATTACTTTGATATTACTACCATATTATCTATTAATATATTAATTTCAAAAAGATTTGCTTTGCAAATGTTTGTGGGTGTCATCTTTTTATTAGTCATGCACAAATCACATTCTAAAACTTTAAATATATCCTACACGAGCAAGAACTAGGAGAGTTATTAAGTTTTTTAATCGAATGTTTGTTTAAACATTATTGTCTAACATATAAAAAAGAACACAGTTCACACAGTTGTTATAATTTAGTGTTTTTGTACTGAAAGATGAAAATGCATGTCTTTTTTATGTTGCTGTGGGTGGAAATATGAAAAAACATTTAAAGAAATAAATAAAATGTGAGGCAACTTGTTAATTTATACTAATGTATATGTAACTGGTCAACATTGAAATCCATAAAAATTTAAACCAATGTTTTAAAATATTTTTTACTAGTGGCCAATTTAGTTTGTGTAAATGTCACATTCACAACTTTGGGTTGGATTTAAAATAACTCTTGGTTCTATTTACACTTACTCCTTTTTTTTTGGTAATTTTCATTAGTTTTAAAAGTTAAGAACTGCATGTTACAATGTTACGTCAGTAACAGCTCATTTTTTAATTCTTTCAAAAATTGAAATTTTTGAAAGTTATTATCCTAATAGTTTTAAAATTGGAGTAGTTGTAAATGTGTAAAAATTCTTACAAGAGCTTGATATTTTTAAAAAAAGAATTGAGCTTTATGCGTTTAAAATCTGCAAACCTGAAAATTGTAATGGGAAATTACCCATAATTATAAATACAAACTGTACAATAAATACTTGAACAAAACAATCACAAATATACTTATATGACAAAATCAAAAATAATTTAAAATCTTAAAAAAAAAAAAAAAAAATCTTTATAAAACGTTCAATGATGGTAGAAACATTCTCAATGATTTCATATATCTAGTGTCCCAAGTTCTACCATTCTTATTTAAGGAATCTATAGATGTAATCATATCTCACTTTGAGGTGCAATAATCATTTAATTTCTCAAAAATATTTTTTTCTTTGTTTGTCAATCAATACTATCACAAAAAATATATATTTACAATTCTACATATGACTAGATACAAGGTGTGTTTTTAAATAAGATTGTTAAAAAAAATGAAGTGTTCTATTTTAAAAGAATATTAAGTAATAAGCATTAATAGTTTCCTCATCCAACATCAAAGATACAATCCAGTTTTTAAGGATCCATATGATATATTTAATGAGGAGAACAGAATATATAATATGGATATATTTTATTAAAATATTTCATAAAAATCTTCATATGCTCCAATACTAGATTTAGTTCCTAACTAGATAAAGCATAAAATCATACTACACATCTAAAATTTGTCTTAAATTACAATTTCTTAAAAAAAAATTTTATCGTATATTACAGTGTTTAATATTAAAGATATCAATTATTTTTTTGCAAAATTTACTAGTTAAAATTTATAAACTAAACTATAAATTTTTTTTATTCCTAGTGAAATGTATAATCACTCACAATTTTAATCTTAAATTTACGTCAGTAATACTTTATTAATATTATACTTTAAAACCTATACTATAATTTAATAATAGAATTGCAATAAGTAAAATAAAAGTATGCTAATTATGTACTGAAAATACGACTGTACAAACATATAATTATATGAATGAAAGTATTGTTATTAACAAGAATATTCGAAAATTTTAAATACATCACTGGAATATAAAAAATTTCCAGTTACTGACTGCTTCCAGGTAATCTATAGATGTGGAGTTGATAGTTAAAATGTTCCACTCAAGCGTTGAATTTGCATCAGTTAAGAACATTATTATTTCAATGAAATATACATTTAAAATATTTTCATAATAAAATATGACAAAAACTTCAATCTAGAATAATATTTAAACAAAATCCTTCAGTCTAAACCAAAGCCATGGAGTTGGTAGTCTGAGAAACCTACTAGGAGTCCAACTTACATTCTATTTTAGCTTTCACCAAATTTTACAGAAGTATTAAGATTATACTTGCAGTAGATTTATATTTGAATTAGTAATATATTTTAAAAGTCAAAACTTTATTACAATAATTAAAGTACCAGTTCACATAATTATAAATATTTGTAAAAACAATTACCTACAAGATAAATGATTTCTTTTATCTTATAAAAAACCTGACTAGTAATTAAATGGAATCAAAGTTGAGCAAATTTTTGATTCCTGCATAATTGTATTTAACTCTGGCTCCGACTGATGCTCTATTTTAACTTTCACCCAATCTTAGGAAAGTATTAGGGGGATCGATAAGTAATGTCGTTTCGGAGCATTAAATATTTGTTAGCCTTAAAAACCAATTCATTTTTTAAATCCATTTTCAATTCGACATTGCAAGGTTGTTGCAAACGAGGGTGAAAAGGTTATTGATTAAAGATAAAATCTTAATAACAAATATCAAATGCACCGAAACAACATTACTTTCCAGTTCTTCTAATATTAAGATCTGACTCTTGCATTATTTTTATAATTGACTTAGTAAAATCTTGTAATAATTATAACATTGCAGTAATAATTATTCAAATACATAATTAACAAGTTCAGATAATTATAAATATTTGTCGAAATAATTTTTCACAAGATCAGAGACTTCTTTTCTTCCTTTAACCTAGAGGACCTGAATTTTAATTCAATGGAGTCGGATACATGCATTTATTTCCAATTCCTGCATAATTATCGTTAATTCTTGCTCCACAGCCCTGGCTTAGAACAAGAACACATTAATTTAGAATATTAGTCTTCAAATTGAGAGAATGTTCAGCCTCAAATAAAGAAGTGAATGCCTCAGAGCATTCACTTTCCCAATCCTATCCAGTAACCATGACGAAAGGTTCGAGTCTTTCCTCGGGTGGAAGAATGTTGTTCAGTTTTTCCATATCATCAATTATGTCTTTCAGAGTAGTTTGACAACGTTGGAGATTGTTGGATATTTCCTGAACTTTTCCAATTTGTTCTGCATGCTTAACAAACTTTTTCTGACGCTCTGTCAATACATTAGTAAGTGTGGTGATGGCAAAATCGATCTAAAAAAATAGAGATTATCTAGTTAATCTTAAATTGAGGATTGATGGCTTTGATAGTATAAGTTCTATTATATTCTATAATAAATATATATTCTATAACTGTTAAATGTTCCATTTTTTACTCAATATGACCAAATATTTTATATTTTTTAGTAAGATATTTGTGTTTTTTGCTCACAAATTTGAATGACTATTTACTGCAATAGTAAAAAGATTATATTTTATGATTACCTAATGTATTAGGGAAAGTATTATACATTGTACTTTTAAAAATTTAGAATTTTTTTTTGTTATTATACTGGTTTAGTGTTAGCAAAAACAAAGAGAAAAAAATGAAAAACACAGTTGCAATGTATATATACTT